GCAGCCGGACGGAGGTGGAGGAGACGCTGGCCGTGGCCGCCGCCCACGACGTCCGCGCGTGGGTCAACACCCTGCCTCTCGAGCGCGTCAACGATGGCATCCAGATGGTGCGAGACAACAAGGCCCGGTACCGCGTCGTGCTCACCACTCAGCCCAACGCCGACTCCAGCTGAAGCCAGTGTGGTCAATATTGAAATGATATTAAATAGTTCGTTTTATGACCGAACGAATGAACGGGCACCAGATACAATCCTCTTCTCCGTTTGGTCAGTGATTCGGCCAGGCCAGAGCTTGGGCGGGCTTCTTCTTCGGCGCCAAGCCGCTGCTTTCGATGCGCAGCGCGGGCAGGTCGAGCCGGGCCATCGCAACGGCGAGCTCGACCACTTCGAGCCGGCTGCCTCAACATGTGTTTCACAACACCCAGCCTCCATGATCAACAACACCATCACCACCATTATGGTGCTAAATGAACCCCTCAGTTTCACCCCAACCAAACACCCACTCATCACTTGCCTATGTTGTGGCATTATCCCATCCAGGATGAAGAGACCCATTGTGACAAGTGCATCATTCAATCCTGTGTTCTTACATTACCTCTTCCACATGTGGGGCATGTGCCCCTTGAAGCAACAGCTCCACATGAAGCTTCTGGTGCTCCAGTGCCTCCTTGGCATGTTCCACATAGCACACTCAGTCCCACTGGCCTACACCAACCTCATTTTCAACATCAACACCCCTACACCTCCATGACAATGCTATCACTGCATCTAACATACAGAGTGGCTCAAACAATAGATGATATGCATCATCACCATAGGTGATGAGACAAATTATTGTTAGAGCAGAGCCACTTTGTATTGTCCCCACCCACCATCCCCATGGTGGTGCACAGCAAGAGCATGCAGGCGGTCAAGGAGGGCGGAGGGCATGGCGCTGCGTCTGAGCAAGCGGCCTCCTCACTCCTCTGCGGAAGCCTCACCCAAGGCTGCTCACCGGTGTGCAGGTGTTCCCAGGGCTCGAGCTGCGGGTCTCGCCTGAGGACCAGTGGAACCGAGTCGAAGCGCAGGGCAAGAAAAAGCGCAGGCGCACGCTCTCGACGTCGATCGCACTATTTGATGACACAATCAACATGTTTAAGGCCGCCCCTCTGGCCGCCGCAGTGTGATCGTGAGACTTCGTCCAATGTTGAACATTGTTCTAGGAAGACAATTATGGCAGGGATGACCTTATCTAGGACGTGTTCTTTCTGCGCGACTGCAGAACTAACTGTCGGCGATTGCGCATCGCCATTATCGGGCATTGTTTATTGAGCGCACCATTTGCCCTTGCGCGCCGAGAGTGGCACAGCCTTTAACCACACATACTATAAAAGAGGGCAACAAAAAGGTTTGATTCAGCACTGAAGCATCAACACGAAGAACGAACCAGCAACATCAACTACAATGAGCACCACTATCACGAATGACAGCAGCACGGCAGCGCGCACGATCGGGGTCGGCATCATCGGACTAAGCGCCAAGCGAGGCTGGGCCGCTGTGGCCCAACTCCCTGCCTTCCGGGCTCTCACCGGCGACTTCGAGGTGCGCGCCCTGACGGCCACCTCCCTCGATTCTGCCCGCGAGGCCGCCGCCAAGCACAATGTGCCGCTCTACTTCGACAACCACCAAGCCCTGGTCGAGCGGCCAGAGGTTGATCTGGTTGTAGTCAGCGTCAAGGTGACCGATCACTACGGTCCCGTCGAGGCCGCCATCCGCGCCGGCAAGGACGTGCTGTGCGAGTGGCCTCTCGGGAGGAACCTCGACCAGGCTGAGCGGCTCGAGGCCCTAGCCCGCGAGCGCGGCGTGCGCACCTTCAGCTGCACCCAGATAAGCGGCGCTCCCTACGCCAGATACGTGCGCCACCTTATCGACTCGGGCTACGTGGGCCAGGTATTGTCGACCAGCTTTGTCGGCTCGATCAGCACCTGGGGTCCGGTCGCGCCGCAGGGCTTCCAGGACTACCTGCGCGACCGCACCTCGGGCGGCACCATGCTTTCCATACTGGGCGGCCACTCTATCGAGGCCCTGCTCTGGGTGGTAGGCGCCGAGTTCCAGGAGCTGTCGGCGGTGCTGGCCAACCAGCACCCTAAGGTCAAGCGCGCCGACACGGGCGAGGAGCTGGACAAGACCGCCGAAGACCACCTGGCCGTCGCCGGCACGCTGACCAACGGCGCCGTGGCGTCGGTCCACCTGCGCGGCGGTGTGTCGCGTCGCGGCGCCAATCGACTGCGGTGGACCATCAACGGTACCCGGGGCGACATCGAGGTGGTCAACACCGAGTCCGGAATCTGCCACATCGGCCTCTTCAACGTCTACGGCGCCCACGACGACCAGACCGAACTGGCCGAGCTGCCGATCCCGGACGAGTTCAAGCCCGACACCAAGGGAGAGGTGAAGCCGGAAGACATGGGCTACGCGCTGGTGGAGTTCTTCCGCGAGCTGGCAGTTGACCTGCGCACGGGCCGGCGGTCGGTGCCCACGTTCGCGGATGCGGTGCGGCGCCACCGCTCGCTCGATGCCATCGAGCGCGCCGCGGCCACTGGCCAGCGCCAGACCTACGCGCTCGCCTAAACAGCCTTGGTGATTGGGTGTTGCGTTGTAATCTGTATTTGCCAGCAGAAAACAAAAGAATATCTGCAAAAGAAAAAGAAACGAAATACGTGCCACTTTGTCCAAGATGCAGCGGGGGAGCAGCAACTACCGTCTGCAGCGCCTCTTTGGCGCCGATGGCCGATGCTTTGGTTTGCACTGCTAGGGGCACCTCCTGTGTCGCATTGAACATTTTTTTCTTACCCCCCCCCCAACATTAGATGTGGCGGTAGACCACGGCATCTTTGGCGAGCTCACCTTTCTCAAGGGCATCGAGGTGCGTACCTGCCGCTTAAAGCTGATGTACACGTAACTAATGCAGGCAGCACTACAATGCACGGACGTGGCCAGGAGATGGAAGCGGTGGTGCGGACGGTGGTTGAGGCCAACCCCGATGCCGTGCAGCTGAGTCCTGGCCAAGCGCACCTCTTGCAGTCGATCCCCGGCAAGGCCAAGCCCGCGCTCGTCCTCGTACGCAACCCTGGCGTGCCGGCTCCGCTGACCAACAGTTGTTCATGGCGCGGCGCGCTCATCGTCAACTTGGCCAACAGCGCGTAGACACGACAAACGCGTACGAGCAGCCGAAACCGAGCCACCTGTTCAGCCAACTGATCGCCGATCCTGTGGGCCAGGCACTACGCCTCGATGCTGCATGCGTGGTACGTACGGCCCCAGCTTGTGGTCTCTGGTCGCAGACTGCTGGTTACCGTACTAACTTGGCCCGTGTGCGTGCGTACCTCCACTCCAGGTGGTGAACCTGATCCGCATCGAAGGGGCCGAGGCGCTCTATCACCAGTGCCTCCAGAACATCGTTCAGATCAAGCCTGAATGCGAGAAGTGGGGCATGCCGCTCATGATCGAGCCGCTCATGCACGCACCCTTGCCCTTCCTCGTGTGCGGTGATGTAGAGTCGTGTGCTCATACACCCGGCGTCGGTGTGGGCGCCCACAGAATGAAGGCCGATGGCGAGCGCTACGGTGTTGACGGCGATGTGGCCAAGATCATTCCTCTGGTGCGACAAGCCGTCGAGCTGGGTATTTTACCCTCACTCCCTTTCCCTTCTTCGCCTTCTTCACCCGCCATGCATGTGGTCATTTTCACCGTTCTTGCGCCAACACACAGGGGCCGACGTTGTCAAGGCCGATCCCACCACCGACATGGAGGAGTACCACAAAGGTGACATTCAATCTCTCTTGAGCACTGCACTGTCGAGGAGAGGACGTGCAACAATCGTTGCTGACTTATAGGGTTTGTCGGTGTACCTCGGTGCAGTGGTGGCGGTTGCGGGGCGGGTGCCGGTCCTGGTGCGTGGCGGCGGCAGGGCGTCAGACGAAGAGGTCCTGCAGCGCACTGCCACCGCGATCGGCCAGGGCGCGCGTGGCATCGTCTACGGCCGCAACGTCGTGCAGCACCGCACGCCTAAGGGCATGACGCAGAGCCTGATGGGCGTCGTCCACGACGGCCTCTCCCCCGCCGAGGCTCTTCAACGCCTCCAGGCCAGTTGACCTAGATTTTATTATTATTTTCTTTTTCTTGTTTTGAGGAATGCGACGCAGTTTGTTACCACCCAAGAGCGAAGAAGAGCGAAGAACGGCAGAAAAACAACGACGTGCAGACCGGTCACCGCCACACCACACGAAAGAAGCCACGCGAACTAAAGAGGCCAGGAGCAAGGAAGTGGTCGCACTCGGAGGCAGAGAGGATGGAGGCAGCACCCGACTCATCGCTCGATTCCTACTTCCTTCTCTTGGAAGGCGAACTCCGACGCCATCTAAACGCCTTCCTCGCGGCCCAGGCGCAGAACGGCACCGTCGACGTCGCTGGCATCGCGTCGCCTGATGTGCGGCTCCTGCTGCAGAATCTGGCCAAGCGGTGGCACAGCCCCCAGGCTCCCACGACCACCCAGCAGCAGACCCAGACGCAGTACAAGAAGAAGAACCTGCGGTTGGAGGGCTCCTCAGTCATCGCCACCAACTTCCTCACCATTCTGGTGGTGCTCAACAACTACCACCACAGGAGTACCAACTCGCCCCCCGCTTTCGCTTTCGTTTTTTGTTTTTCGTGTATTTCTTTTCTCTTGTTTTCTTTTTATTTATTCTTTTTTTCTTATTGGTACTCGCAAACAGGCGAGACACACTGGGACACGATCGAGGAATGCCACTCGTGCACGTTGCGAGTGCTGCGTGCCCTTCGCGATAAAGCTGGCATCGACACCTCCGAGAGCGTGCGGCAGTTGCAAGCCCGGTGGGAGACGCTGGAAAGGTTTGGCGATTTCGCCTTTGACAACACTCCAAAGGTGCTCGGCCTCCTCCATCCGGACGCTTGCAGCACTCAATTTAATCCCTGTTCTTTGGTACAGATCGAGGTGGCCGACATTGCGCAGCGCGAGGGCGGTCCGCCTGGCGAGGCGTCTGCGCCGCGGCTCGTTCTGAGGGGCCTGCCGGCCGAGGCCACCGCGCAAGCGGTGATGTTGGTTATACAAGCCCAGGACATCGACGTCGACGAGTCCATGATTCATCTCGGCGAGGGCCAAGGCGAGGGCGCTGGACCTGCAGAGCCCTATGTGGAGCTCAAGTCTGTTGAAGATCAGAGGGCACTGCTTGAGCTCGGCAGCATCCGGATCAGGAAGACTACGGTACGCCAATCGCCATGCCTCGCTCAAACAGCTCGAGTGCTTTGACCTCATTCGCTGCGTGTTGTGTGTGATGTGTGACAAGGTCCACTTTGTGAAGCTGGTGGAGGCGAAGGAGGTGGTGCTCTACCTGGCCAAGCGGCTCGCCACGCAGGCCTTGGCCGGTGCGTGGGAGAACGAGTTTGGCCACGCGCTCGGCGAAGGTGAGATAACGTGCCTCGATGACGAGGGCCACGTGGTAGCGGTGCGCCTCACGCCCGAGCAGTATGCCGAGGTCGAGGGCAAAGAGATCACACTCATACGCAAACCGGTACCTCGCGGCAGCCACTCTTTGATCTTATCCTAAAATCTGGCACTAACGACACGACACCACACACACGACACAAACACGACACACACACACGACACACACATGGCACAGACCAAGATTCGGCTGATGCAACATCATGTCAAGTTGTTGCTTCCATCAGCAGACATGTCGACTGATACTGTGCGCGAGACGGTGGTGAAGCACCTGGTGGAGAGGGCCGACCACCTGACGGAGCTGGTCCGGGTCGACGACCTGCTGCCGTGGGCCGTGGCTCAACTCAGCAGCCAATCGGCCAAGGAGGCGCTGCTCCAGGCGAGATATCTGAAGGCAGCCATCCCTCCTACGACGACGCATACCTCGACCAGCACTCATGAGCGCGTGGTACCTGCGGCAAGTATAACTCCGACACCCGGTCCGGGCCTCGCTCACCGCCAATGGTTCCCACGTAGCCCGGACGCCTCGTCCGACGCATCTATAACTCCGATGAGCCAGGCTCACACCGCCAAGACCGAGGCGTCTCCGCCCGTGCCGGCCCAGCCCAGCGCCAAGCCGACTGCGTTCACGCAAGCAAACGAGACGCCCGCGACGCCGCAGACCAACGGCACCACCGATCGGACCGAGCCGCTGAAGGAGATGGTGATGCTACACTACCTCAAGAAGCAGGGCGAAATGCTCGACAGCATCGGACGCAAGTACTCAGTCACAATTACGCCGTTCGGCCAGGACAATGCCGGCTTCGTCCGCGTGTCATCCCCGGGCCACACCTCAGCTAAGGCCGACCTGAACGCCGCCTGGCTGGACGTCGATGCGGCGCTGGCCCAGGCCCCGAAGCGACAGTCGACCTTCAAGTTCCAGGACCCGCTCATGCGGGCCTGCTTCAAGCGCAAGCTCCAGAGCCTCTACAGCTTCAGCCGAGCTAGCGCGCTCAATGTGGTCAGCGAGCCCGGTGCGGGTGTGGGACCGGTGGTGGTGCACATGATGGCCGCCGACGAGCGAGAGATCGAGGCGCTCGACAAGGAGGTCACCCGCTCGCGGGTGCGGATAGTCTCCGTCCAGTCGCCTCGGCTCAAGCCGGCCTTGAGCGTGAGCATGAAGCGGCTCAAGCAGCTCTTCGACGTGGCCGCGGCGCTCAATCCGGTAACCCGCCAGCTGAGGGTGGTGGGCCACCGCGAGTCCGTCCAGGCGTGCCTCGCGCACATCGCCCAGCTCAACGGCGAGAAAGCCACCGCGACCACTCCTTCGACGCCCGCGCCCGTGTCAACGCCATCGCCGCCCGCCACCGTCAAGAGCGGTGCGGCGCCGACGCAGCCGCCGGCCAGCCCACGCCGACCCGAGAAGGTGGAAGCAGTGGAGCAGACCCTTCGGCTGTCGCCCGTACCCGAGGGCATGACCGCCAGCGAGCTCAGGGCTCTTATCCGCGCTAGGCTCGCCGGCGTTGAGCCCACGTTCATCGCCGTGCGCGACGGGTCGGCCTATGTCCGATGCCGACCGATCTCCAAAGATCGTTCGATCACGATGACCACGGAGATCAGCCCCGACGTATCAGTGCGCGCCTCTCGCATCGACCTTTCGGCGGTAACATGCTCAGTAGGCTGACTGTCGCTTGGCCATTCTTTCTTTCTTTCTTTCTTTCTTTCTTTTGGTGATCGCGGATGCAGGTTCGTGTGGAACCGTTTCTGGGCGAGGTGCCGTCGTGGAAGCTCTGCCTGCAGGGCGAAAGCACCGCGCTAGCCAAGCTGCCCGTAGACCAAATTGAGGCCGAGGTCCTATCCATCCTCCAGTCCCTCCCACATGCGGTACAAGACAGACGCGACACACACGCACGCACGCGCACACACACACACACACACCACGACGGAGTGGTCATTCTCACCGAGGGCGCAGGATGTGGAGCTGGAATTGGGGAGGATAAAGGTGTGGCACGACATCGTTACCGCGGAGGTCGGCACCGAGGCATGCCTGCGCCGACTGCAACAGGGCCTCCCCTCGCCCACGCACATCGGTTGCGGCCAGGTACGGCCGGCGGTTTTGGAACTGGTCAAGCCACCACTGCTCGGTCGACATGTGGGACTGACATGGCTTTATTCAAGGTGGTGGCGCGCGACGAGGCGTTCGACCGAACGGAGCAGTTGGCCGACGTGGGGTTGGCCATGTACCTGGCCAAGCGCAGGGACCAAACCCTTGTCGCCATCGAGCGGGAGCTCGCGGTCTCCATCGCCCCCGTGTGTGTGGCGGTCCGCGAATCGAAGCTCGGCTTCGTGCGCATCGGCGGCCCGTCGCCCGAAGCTGTCAAGCGCGCCTGGCAGCGCGTGAAGGCCGTGATCCGTGCTGTGGTGCGGAAGCGCTGTCAGTTCAAGTTTGGCGCTGACGAGCTTGACCAACTGGTGCGCAAGAGCGTCAAGGCCAAGCTCAACCAACTCCACGAGTCGCGCGACTGCCCCACCGCGATCTACGTCGAGGACCAGCCACCCACAACTCTCCTGGTCGTGCACGTGCTGGGCGACTGCCAGACCGAGGTGGACGCCCAGGATCCGAACCACATCCGAATGCGAACTGTGGTTGACTGGTCGCTTGTGCTGCCGCCTTCGGTCGGGTGTCCCGGCCCGGGCTGGGTCGAGCTCGCCAAGACCTTCGATGTCGTCTTCGATATCGACCTGGCCGAGCGCCGAGTCGGCGTAGCCGGCTGTCGCGACGCCGTCACCAGGTGCGTGACTCACCTCGCCGACCTCCTTGCGCCCAGCGGTAGTTCCGCAGCCGTGGCCGCCGCGGCTCAGCCGGTCGCCGCAGGCCCAGACCCTCTTATGGGCACAACCGCCACTGCCGGCAGTTCGACTTCGGCGCAACCCGAGGCTCCTCAGGGGTCTCCCTCTACCATCCGCTCGGTGAAGTACACGCCTGCTGAAGCCAAGCCGGTGGCCAAACTGCAGCTGTCGATCGTCGAGGCCAAGTACGGCGTGCGCGTGCAGCTCGACCGCCAGCTGTGCGTCATCACCGTCTCCGGCGCCCAGTCCTCCTTAGTCTCGCGGGCTGTCGAGCACATCAAGTCCGTTCCACACTCGCGACCCACACACTCGCGCGCGCAACACACACACACACACACATACAGCTGCCTTGAGTGTCGACTCATCCTTAGGATTCGGCGCACGCTAACCAGGAAGTTCATTAAGCGCGGGGTCAAGATGCTGGCGCCCCCCGTCATTGATCCCGAGACCATGACCACCACAACGACCGCGACGGTGAGTGACTCAGCAGCTCCGCCGCAGTAGAAGCGGGTACGGATTGAGCTCACCACTTATCCCTCGCGTGCGGCTAACGCGTGCAATATGCGCCTCAATTCTTCGTGCGCAGGCACCTAAGGCCACCGCGTGGTACGCCAGGTTGGTCGAGCATGTGGGTACCACCAATGATCTGGGTCGTCCAGACTGCTGTGGCTTTGTCTCGCTGGTGCTCCTTTCTCTCATAATTTATTTTTGTTTTACGTCTTTTCTGAATACAAATGTTTTCCTCGATTATTTCTTGTTATTTTTCTTGTTTTCCGTTTTTGTTTGTGTCTCTTGGTTGAAGTGTGAGCGACAAGATGAAGCCGGGGTGGGCACTAGAGATGAGACCGGGCATGACAAAGGCGCTGGACCACGCCCGCACGGTGTCCCCCTACCACAGCTTCAAGAAGGACGACTTCACCTCCGAGGAGGTCGACCTGGCCAACCGGTGCCACGGGCACCACCTGGAGGGCCTCAATCTCGAGATCACACCTGCCGGTATGCACTACCTTCTCATCCACTTCGACATCCCCACGGACATCGAGGAGGCCACCTACCGGCTAAAGCTCCACGGGCTGGTCGACCGCGAGCTCGACCTGTCCATGGCCGACATCCGGCGGAGGCCCCGCGTCAGCGTGCCAGTCACCATGGAGTGCGCTGGCAATGGCCGCATCAACATGAAGAAGCGGTACTTGCTTTGTCTTTTCCGTCGTCTTCTTCTTTAGCACAAACGCTCTCCTGCCTTTTGCTCATCATTGTTTTCTTCAGATATTGGACGCACGTGCCGTGGAAGTACGGGGCCGTGGGCACGGCGGTGTGGACGGGCACGCCGCTGAAGGACCTCCTCGAGGAGGCCGGCCTGCAGGACAAGGCCATCGAGCTCCTCTTCACCGGCCTCGATCAGGGCGTGCAGGGCGGCGAGATGCAGTACTACCAGCGCTCGCTCACCATCGACGACGCCACCCGCAACGAGGTCAGTAATGCTGCCATGGTTGAGTGGATTATTATGCGTTGTTGATTGGTCCGTTATGAAGGTGATCCTGGCGTACGAGATGAACGGGCAGCCGCTGCTGCCGCAGCACGGGGCGCCACTGCGGCTCATCGTGCCGGGCTGGTACGGCATGACCAACGTCAAGTGGCTTGACTCCATTGAGGCCATCTCGACGCCCTTCGACGGCTACCAGATGCAGGCCTACATGTACACCCGATACCCTGGTGACAAGGAAGGCGAGAGGATGAGGCACCTCAAGGTGCGATCGCTCATGGTGCCTCCCGGCGTGCCTGACTTCTTCACTCGCGTTCGCCTCGTCGAAGAAGGTACTCAGCATCCACTCAAGACTCTTATTCATCGACACAGTAGACCAAGCTGTGTGTTGCTGACGGTGGTGGGTGGGTGCAGGCAACGTCAAGCTGAAGGGCCGTGCGTGGGCGGGACCGCTGGCGGTGAAGCAGGTGCTGGTGAGCGTGGACGGCGGCGTCACGTGGGCCGAGGCCACGCTGGCCGCCAAGGGCGTGGGCAAGTTCGCCTGGATCGCGTGGAGCTTCGAGTGGCGCAACGCGCGCGCCGGCGCCAAGCACTTCCTCATGACCAAGGCCATCGACGAGCTGGGCAACGTGCAGGACAACGCCGAGGAGTGGAACTACTACGCCATGGGCGCCACGGTGCCGCAGTCGGTGCCCGTCGTGGTGGTGAGCTCGGCCGAGTGGCGCATCACCGGCAAGCCCCTGCCCAACCCGCCTCGCCACCCCAAGCTCTAACGAAAGAGTGAAGAGGCAAGATAAATGGGGTGAAGCTCTTGTCGCCTTTATCTACAGTCATGTACAAAGCGTGTGATGTTGTGCGTGCGGCTGTGTGCAATGTTGTGCGGTTGAGGTACGTAACCGGTTAGATCGTGTGTACAACTGGGGTGATGGTGGTGGATGAATATATATACTTCGCGTGCGTGCGAAAGGATCAGGCGTCGTGTCGGCCGAGGTTGTGCCTGATGTGTCGCACCATCATCGGTAGGTAGTGGTCCAGATCGGGCACTCGGAGTCCCACCACCTTGGCCTTGTCGTCCCAGCTGCGCAGCTTGAGTATGGCGTCGAACAGCGGGCTCTGCTCAAACGCCAGCGCCTCGGCGTCACTCATCGGTCCGCCCTGGTACTCGAGCGTGAGCTTGCTGGCCGGCGACAGCTTCCGTGCGTAGTTATCGTGCTTCCACACCAGGTAGCGCTGTGAGACCCCGTGACCAACACACACGACACGCCACAACAAGTTGAGTAAATCGCTTGAAGAAGACGGTGATGAAGAGGCCGGGCTCACCTTAGCCTGGACGTGACCGCACACGAGCTGGGCGACCTTGTCCGAGAAGCCCAGGCGCAGGAGGTAGCTGGCGCCCACCACCTCGTGGTTCTGCACACCCACGGCTCCCATGCGCGCAAGCGAACTCTCGTCCTGGTCGACATCCAGCTGCAGATGGCCCACGTCGTGCAGCATCGCGCCCAGCACCGTCTCCTCGTCCGCGCCTGTAGCCACGTTTGGTGGTCGTGAGGTGCGTGAGGCAAGGCTGATCGTGCGCCGTGGCAAGGTGCTATTTGGCCTTACCCGAGTCGGCAGCAAACTTGGCGCACTGGAGGGCGTGCTCGAGCTGGGAGATGGACTCCCCAATGTAGTCCATGTGGGCTGAGGCACGTAGAACAGCAGCAACCCTTTCCGCCTGCTCCTTGGCCAACGTTTCCAGCTCCACGGTGGGGTAGGTTGGTGATGATGTCATGCTCTTGACGATAGTAGTAGAGGAGGAAGAGGGCAAGTGGATGGTGGATCAGGGCCTGCCGTAGTATTGGATGATTGAAAGATGAACGATGCAAAAGATGCAAAGATGAAGTCCATTTTTATACCTGGTGGTGGGCTGGTTGGTTGGGTTTCAAACAGGGAAGTGCAGCTAGATGCACGGCTGTGGGTCCGCACACCAAGCCGCACCCCGTTGCGGCGTGTTGCCCGGAGTAAATTTCCCCGACGCACTTTCGCCGACACTCCCCTCCCGTCATGCCCGAGTATTTAGAAAATGTGAACAATTTCTTGGAATTGAGCCGTTGGGTTTGGCGGTCGTGGTCGGTTGTGCCAATGGGCCAGAGGGCGTAGACCGAGTGTCAGTGACCACCCTGACTCAAACGTTCAAGTGGGGGAAGCAACCAACCCGAGCGCCATCTGCTTGCTGTGGGGCGCATCTGATTCCTCCTCTTCTTCTTTTGCCGTGTCTCTCATCCTCACCGCGTGCTTCTTCCTCGACCTCGCGAGGGGCAAGAGAAAGGACCAAGGGAGCGAGGACGCAACGTCACGCGCCGCCGAATCGATTTGTAAGGGAGGCCGGGTCGTCCACAGCGTCCCCCTCACCTTTATCCTTCTCCTCTCGCAAAGGGCCTATCACCACCTCCTCTAGCGTCGCCCCAGCTTTGACGGCCTCCTCGCCAGCTGCTACCTCCACCTCTGCATTAGGCGAGTCTCGGTCGAGACAGCGCCGACGCCTGAGGAAGCAGCGCCAGCGCCTCCAACGGCAGCAACAGCAACCACCTGCTGCACCAACACCCACCACTCCATCCAGCAGTGCTGCCCCACTCCGCAACCAACCGAATCGCAGCACCACCACCACTACCACTACCACTACACCGTCGAAGATCGCCCCCTCGCGGTCGCCGTCAAACCTTTCGCCCACTTCCAACCGCCCCCATTCCAATTTAAATTCAAATTCAGCACCGCGTCGCCCGCAGACACATCGTCACAGCCCCAAGCGACCGTCAGCGACGCCCAACGATAATACTTCAGTGACCAAAGCCACATCGCCATCATCTTCATCATCGCCAGCGGCAGAACCACAGCAGGAAGAGGAGGAGACAGTCCGGTTCTTCGTAACGCGCCTCAAGATGAGCAAATTCAAAGTAGGCGACCTCGTGTGGGTCAAATTGCGCAGCTTTCCTTGGTGGCCTGCCCAAGTACTCCCCACCCCGCACCGCTCGGCCCTCTCGGAATTAATTATTATCAACAACCAATCATGACTTCGAGATCAACGAGATTCTTGTTCATTTATTATTTTTTTAAAATTCATTGCTCAGGTCCACGATGAAGCAGATCCCGACCTGAGCCCCGAAGTGCAGAACGAAAAGAGGAAGGGATGCATTCTCGTTCGCTTCTACGGCGAACACAACTTGTACGCGCGCCCTCCCTCTACTTGTTCGCGCGTGCGTGCGTGTGTCCTTCCTTCCCCTCACTGACGGTGTGTGCGGTCGCGCTGTTTTGCGTGTGCGTGTGCAGTTCGTGGGTGGAGGGGAAGCCCAAGTGCATGCTGCCCTTCCGCGGGAAGCACTTCTCGGAGAAGGCCCGGGTCAAGAGCGCCGGCATCAAGCAGGCGATCGAGGAGGCCTTCGAGGAGGAGAAGAAGCAGGGCGGCCCGCCGGCCGAGCCCGAGGAGGACGAGGAGCAGGCCACGGTCGACCAGGAGGAGGCCAGGGCCAAGCGGAAGGCCAAGCAGGAGAAGGCCAGAGAGGAGAGGGCCAAGCGGGAGAGCGAGAAGAAGAAGAAATCCCAGACGGGCGACCGCAAGCGGAAGCGCGACGAGGGGAGCAGCGGCGGCGAGGGCGGGTCGGACGCCGAGGCGGAGGAGAAGGAGCGCAAGCAGAAGCGGCGGCTGAAGCGCAAGAGCGAGGGCGGGAGCAACGGCGGCGGCGGAGGCGGCGAAGCCAAGGCCGACGAACCGCGCAAGCGCGCCAAGAGCACCGGCGGCGAGAAGGCCGGCAACGGCGAGGCGACGTCGGAGGGCAAGAAGCGGGTAAAGCGGGAGAGCACCGGAGGCGAGAAGGCCGGCAACGGCGGGGCGAAGGACGCCAAGGACAAGGAGAAGGAGGAGCGGAAGCGGAAGCGCGAGGAGCGGCAGAAGAAGGCGAAGGAGGAGGGCGCGGAGGGCGGCGAGAAGAGGCAGAAGCCCAAGCAGCCGAAGAAGCCAATGGACGAGGCGGCGGTCAAGCAGCGGCTCGCGGCCCTGCACGTCGACCTGAAGCGGGCGGCCGTGCAGAAGTCCGCGTCGGCCCTGGTCGCCGCAATCAAGAAGATCAAGGCCACGCCCATCACCATTCAGCTCCTCCACGTACGTGCCTCGCTACCCACTGCCAATGACGACGCTAGCTCACCCTTCACTCTGCGGACCACACACACACACACACACAGGAGACGGGAATCGGGCGTACGGTCAAGAAGCTCTCCAAAATGCCGGACAAGGGCATCGCGATGCCGTCGGCCGACCTGCTCAAGCACTTTGTGTCGGTCATGGACAACGCCATCCAGAAGAACGACGCCACCATCCAGACCATCCAGGAATCCAAGGTTCGTGCTCACCTCCTGCGCGTCGTCGTCGTCGTCGTCGTCTTGGGCAGATTGGACTTAGTTGGGCTTTCTTTTTCTTCTTTTTCTTATTCTTCTTGTGTGCAGCAAACGCGCAAGCCATCGCCGGCTAAGGCGACGGACAAGGGTGACGTGTCTCCCAAGCCCGCAACTACCGAAGGAGGCGAATCGAAGCCAGCCGCCCCGGCCACCAATGGCGAAAGCGACGACCTCGCGGCCCTCATCGACGAGTCCGAGGCCACCACCTCTACAACGGCCACCGCTGCCACCGTCGATTCCGCAGCGGCGACGGAGGCACCTCCGCCGGCGGAAGAAAAGGCGGAAGTCGACAAGGGCCAAGGCGAGGCCGACCATCAGCAGCCGCCGCCACGCGAGACGCAGGGAGAGGGCGGCCAAGGAGATGAGGCGCCGGCGTCGGGCGGAGACGCGATGGAGCTGGAGAGCGCGTCTGCGACTGCCGCTGCCGTGCCTGCTACTCCCGCGGCTCCCACCGTGGCTGAGCCCGCGCGCACCGAGGCGCCGCCGAAGCCCGATGCTATGGAGGAGGAGTCACCCAAGGCCGCCGCGCCATCCGTCAAGCCGCCGCAGCCCCCAACGCAGCCACCCGAGGTGGCGTCCACGACGCCTTCGCCCGCCGCTCACGAGACACCGGCAGCGGTCCCAAAGGCCGAAGACACCAGTGACGCCTTGGCCGTGCCGGACGACCCGACAGAAGACGCCGTGACGCCGCTCAAGGAGGAGGCGGCGACGGAGCCAGCCGCCGCTGCTTCTGCTGCCACCAACGCCCCGAAGCTGCAGGGCGCGGCGTCCGCGGCCGGCTCAAACAGGGACCCCAGCAGCAGGGAGCGGGACCGCGAGCGGGACCGGGATCGGGACAGACACGATCGTGACCGCGAGCGTGACAGGGAGCGAGAACGAGACCGCGATCGCGGCCGAGACAGCAGGTCCGGCGGCAGCGGGGCCGGCGACCGTGATCGGGACCGTAGCGACAGAGACAGGGACCGATCGAGCGGTGGAGGCCGAGACAGGGACCGCGACAGGGAGCGGGAGAGGGACCGCGAACGGGACCGCGACAGGGCGAGGGACAGCGGGAGGGAGCGAGAACGCAGAGACAGCGGCGGCAGGGACCCGACAAGGACGAGCAGCGGAGGAAACAACAGAGACCGGGACCGAGACAGGGCCGAGAGGAGGACTTGATATCGGGGCTTGCGTCACCACCATCAACTATCACCAATTATCTTCACATCTCAAGTCTTTGTGTATCATGGGAAAATCAAAAATAAGTTTTGTGTGGCCACTGGTTCCTCTTCTTGACGTCAACAAGAAGCACCAAACATCATCATCATCAGGCACGGATTCGAGCGAAGAAGACGCCGTGGGGCTCGACTGTGGTGGTGAAGCCGTTGTTGTAGTGTCCGTA